TTCCCCAACCTAAAGTGACCTCAAAAATCAGAATAAGGTTGGAGTGTAAAACATTAAAAACAGCCTTTACAGCTGTTCTCTTAATATATATACAAAACAGTATCATCCCTGGCATTCCCCAGAAAGGAAGATGGCATGGCACCCTTGTTGCCATGCCCCTTCCACCAGGAGAAGAAACAGTTGGTTTCTTGCCACAAGGAAAGGAAGATAGCTGCCTGTGTATAAAGCTGTGGAGACATCTTCTTGCTTTCATGCGGCAGGGTTGCCCCTTTATTTGGAGTGATTTGGCATGGGAGACACAGCTGCATTCATGGGGATGTAACTATGGATTTGGGAGTGGGGGATGAAAGCATTCTCCACCCCAAATAAGAATATTTCCCAATAAATTTTCATTCAGTCCCTGAATTTCTAGTGTTGCAATGAGCATTTGGAAAGAGGGAAAAGGCAAAGTTGCTGAAGAAATGCACACACACAAAATATGATTTTCACCACCTCACTCTCTTCTGTGCTAGAAATATGAGTGCTGGAGGAAAATTTCATAAGGATAAGATTCTTATTTGGGGAGGGGGCACTCTCATGTCTTCCCCAAAGTTACAACCCTGTACATCTGCCTCCTCTTTCTGGGACAGCGAGGAGGATGGACATTGAAAGCAGCTCTTGAGGTGGAAGGGCAAGTGGGGCAGTTGCTATGAGAGCAGATAGTGGCCAGTTTGCTACTTGTAGTGCCTTTCTAGTAGGGGGGCCGCAGTGGTGCAATGGATTAAACTACTAAGCTGCGGAACCTGCTAACTGGAAGGTGGATGGTTTGAATCTGTGGGATGGGATGAGCTCCTGTTGTGAGCCCCAGCTTCTGCCAACCTAGCAGTTTGAAAACATTCAAATGTGAGTAGATCAATAGGTACCGCCTCAGTGGGAAGGTAAATGGCGCTCCATGCTATCAAGCTGGCCACATGATCTAGGAGGTATCTATGGACACAGCAGGCTCTTCGGCTTAGAAATTGATATTGCAATTGTAGATAAAATCTGATTTTGCCTTGTGTTTTTTAAGATATATATTTGTTGATTTTGTCAAACCTTCAGGTATTTTAACAATAATACTGATATGAGATAAGGTCAATGGTGGCGCCATCATGTGTTAATGCAGTGCATGACACTAGTCTTAGTGACATCACTGCTTGAGCTCAGTAAATATAGATACAACAGGTGGTAGTTTCATGGCCCTTCAGATATTGTTGGGCTGCAGGTATCAGCATTGGCTCTGCCGGTGAAAGCTGCCAGGAATTACTGTCCAACAACATCTGCAGTTTTGCATGTTTCTCAGCCCTGAATTAGGATATAAAATGCTGGGCAAAAGTAGTGTCCTCTCTCTTTTACTCTCCTGGCCAAATGTAGATAAAAGATTTGTTTGGCTCAGAAACAGGTATGAAAATGGACCCAGTTCCAGCGTGAATTTGAGTGACCATTTAATTTCTGCATTGATGCTGCTTTCTTTCACTCTTGATTTTGCGACTTGGGATTCCAGTACTAGACAACATGTCTGCAAGCGAAAAGAAAAGAAGAAACCCAGACGGCAACAAAACACTGTGTAACTGAAATGGGGAGATGTGGCGCCTGAGAGAAAAGCACACATAATGTAGTTGGCTCATCCACAATGGCATGGATATCTGGAAATAGATTTTTCTGTTGCCATATCAGTTACCTGCAGGCAAAGAGCAGCTTCTCTTCCCACAGAAAACAGGGGGCAAGGCTTTACTTCTGGATCTTACCTCCTCTCTCTCACGACACCCACAGTTGGCCCTGGAATCAAGGCTGGATTAAGACCTTTAGAGATCCTAAACCAGGCCTGGGCAAACTTTGGCCCTCCGGGAGTTTTGGACTTTGACTCCCACCATTCCTAACAGCCTCAGGCCCCTTCCTTTTCCCTTTCCCGCTTAAGCCGCTGAGGGGGAAATGGAATAGGCCTGAGGCTGTTAGAAATGGTGGGAGTTGGAGTCCATAACACCTGGAGAGCTGAAGTTTTCTCAGGCCTGAGTTAACCCCTTCAACCCCATTCCCAGTAAAATGGACTATTCTTCTCTCTCTCTCTGGCGCCCCCTTGTGGCCTCCACCTAGATAATGGACCAGTTTTATTTATTTATTTATTTATTTATTTATTTATTTATTTACTATATTTCTATACTGCCCTTCTCAGCCCTTAGGCGACTATTTTTGTATACTTACAGTGTATTTATATTTGAAAAGTTTTCTCCTACTTTTTCTCATGGAAAAAAATCATTGTGGGAGTTCCTTTTTTGTGGATCCTGGTTCAGCAGCACTATATTTATTTATTTATTTATTTCAGTTACTTCTACCCTGCCCTTCTCACCCCCAAGGGGGGACTCAGGGCGGCTTACAAAAGAAGGCACAATTCGATGCCTATGTCACATATACATATATAAAAGCAATTAAACAGTTAACAGGTTAAAAACATCTGTACATAACACAATAACACAATAATAAACGAATCCCTAATTAACTAATCCCTATAATAAACTATATGCTGCCTGGCATCTTATGGTGCATGGCAAATCTGGCCATGGAAAATTTCTGTGGTGCACCCACTTCCCTTGATGTTCTAAAAATGGACTTATTTTGCTGAATGGTTAATCTGGTTCTGATTGGGAGCCCCGGGGCTGTCCTGGATATCAACATTTGTGGATTCCCAAGTCCCATGATATAGGTAAAGATAAAGGTAAAGGTTTCCCCTGACATTAAGTTTAGTCCTCTCCGACTCTGAGGGTGGTGCTCATCTCCATTTTTAAGCCAAAGAGTCGGTGTTGTCCGTAGACACCTCCTAAGTCATGTGGCCAGCATGACTGCATGGAGCGCTGTTACCTTTCCACAGAAGCGGTACCTATTGATCTATATACACTTGAATGTTTTCGAACTGCTAGGTTGGCAGAAGCTGAACCTAAAAGTGGGATCTCATCCTGTTCCCCGGATTCGAACCACTGACCTTTCGGTCAGCAAATTCAGCAGCTCAGTGGTTTAACCCGCTGCGCCACCATGGTTTATGATATACAATGGCATAATCAAATGGTTGAGCCATGGTGGCACAATGGGTTAAACTCTGAAATGCTGACCTGAATGTTGGTAGTTCTAATCTGCGAGACTGGGTGAGCTCTCATCTGTCAGCTCCTGCTTCCCATGCGGGGACATGAGAGAAGCCTCCCAGAGGATGGTAACACATCCAAGCATCCCCTGGGCAGTGACAGTATGATTGTGCAGGTACAGCTGTACCAGGAGCTCCAATTTTGTTTGCTTTGCATTGAATGTTTGTTGTAGTCCTAAGTTTCAGGGACTCTGCAGATAGGTGGCTTCTTTTGGCTGCAATCATAGGGCAAGCCATATGTCAATTATAGTTAGGTTCCCTGGTCCCGCCCCCTTTTTGGGTTTTGGTGGGAATAGGAGCCATTTTGAGTTCAGTCCACACAGAGCAGCTTTCCATGAAGGACATAATACCAAGAGCTCCTATAGAAAGCTTCGTCTTCTACAGCTTGGCCGGGGTTATACAGCCTTACAGCTCCTTTGCGGGGGGACTTCAGCCAACCATCACTGAAACCTGAACTCCTTTTCCCCTGGAGGTCTACAAAGCTCTGCTTGGTAAGGGTCACTCGCGGAAGCCAGAAGCAGTTGGTACCGGGTGCAGGGGCTCCACGCCAACAGAGGCAAAGACAGACTGCCCAGATTAGAAGTTAAGGATTTCCCCATTAGTTACAGTTATGAAGATAGTGCCTGTTCCCTGTGGACAAGATTGAGAGAGAGCCAATAGACTGTTAAGAAAGCCTTAAAGTACCTGTTTGTTTTCATTAATAAAGAACTTTGTTGAACCTTTAAGCAATCTAAAGACTCTGTTTTAAGGAAATCCAAGGGCCTTTAATCTGAGGCAGCCCCGGCGTCCCATTGGGCACACGGAATTTATGTCCTGTCTACAGTCTTATGCACAGGCCCAGCGTGTGACAACACAATGATAGCTGGGTCTGGAAGCTCCAAGTGTTACGCACATTCCGCAATGTGATTGTGAATAAGGGAACGAACCACGTAGTCCAGGGAGAAAGGAGGGGAGGGTTAGGATAAGGTTTAGGGTAAAGTTTAAGGTTAGGGTTTGGGGTAGGCAGACATGTAGCCGGGGGGGGGGGGCTTGAGGGGCTTCACCCTCCCCCCGAAATTCTCAGGGTGGTCCGCGCGAAGGCCTTACTGGTACATTATTTAAACTGTTATGTTTATTCATATCATGATCTGATCACCATGCTCAATATATCCCATATGCATGGGGGTATTGGGATAATGATACAAAAGGTTTGCTAGGGTAGATCCTCAGCCCCCCCCCCCCCCGAATCAAACTCAGCACCCCCCCCCCCGAAACAAAATCCTGGCTACGGGCCTGGGGGTAGGGTAAGGGTTAGTGTTAAAATTAGGGTTAGCAGTTAGGGTGAGGGTAAGGGTTAGGGTGTGTGTTAGGATTTGGGTTAGGGTAAGGTTTCGGGTAAGAGTTAGGGTAAGGTTTAGGGTTAGGGTTTAGCCATTAAAGAACTCTTACAGTCCTTCCATAATATCTGTGTTCTGTTCTGCATTGCGCAAACAGCATTCCCGAAGGAGCGAAGCGGAAACAGTGTAATGCTCGGGCCAGCTATCATACCATTACCGCCTGGACAACGTCCCTGCAGACGGCCAGTTCTCTCACACCAGAAGCGACTTGCAGTTTCTCAAGTCGCTTCTGACGATTTTTAAAAAAAATCAAATGGTGCTCCTTCTATCAAATGGCAAAATCAAGGTATGCGTTTGGGTTTTTTAAAAGAAAATGTCAGTCCGCGGATAGTGAGATCCGTGGCTGCAGCACCCGCGGATAGGGAGGCCCGGCCCAGCCAGTGATCCCCTTTTTGGAGGGGGAGAAGGCAAGGGGAGGGGACCCGTCGGCTGAGGCCCCGCCCCCAGCACGCTCCCCCTCCGCCCATTCGCTCCGGCTATTGTGACGTCAGGATGTACTAAAAAAGAAGCAAGAAAACAATCGGCATTGAGGAAAACAGAGGCACTCGGAGCCTGTTTGGGAGGAGAAGCGTCCGTGGGAAGGAAGCCACGGAGAGGGGCTGGCCGGGACTCAGTGTGGGAGGGGGAAGACGCTTCTGCCAACATGGTGTCGCCGGTGACCGTGGTGAGTCCGTGGCTGCGGGGAGATTGGGTCCTTCTCTTCCCTGTGGCCGCAGGGTCCCTCCTTTTTTTTTTTTGGGATACAGCCCGCGTGGGCTCTCGGTCGCGTGGCCCTCCCCTCCCCTTCCTTGCTGTTGTTTTTCTCTCCCGCTCCCCGACTCTGCTCTTTGCTGGAAAGGAAAATGTGGCGAGGATGGCAATGTGTGTGTTTCGAGGAGTGGGGAAAAGGAAGGAAGGAAGGAAGGAAGGAAGGAAGGAAGGAAGGAAGGAAGGAAGGAAGGAAGGAAGGAAGGAAGGAAGGAAGGAAGGAAGGAAGGAAGGGGTTGGCATCCTCGCCCAGCGCCCGTGTTCGCGACCCACGGCTGGACGCGAGGAGGAAGAGGGGAGGGGAGGGGAGGAGGGGACCCTGAGAAAAGTCGATGGGAATGAAAACATTGGGCATGTGACTGGGAAGCGTGACTTTGTGGATTTTCCCTTCCTCTGATTGATAGGCGGGGAGGGAGGCCAGAGGGAGGGAAGGAGAGAGAGAGATCCAGCTCAATGCCCTTTCCTCAATGCCCAGCATCCCTTTCCTGCGCTCGCCCGATGGGAACTGGAGTCCTGCAACATCTGGAACTGGGCTAGAAGGCAGAGATGGTGCATCCCTCCTCCATCCAATCACCCTCTCCCTTCTTGCTGAACGTTTTTGTGCCTTGGATCCCTTGGGCAGCCCGTGTGTGTGTGTGTGTGTGTGTGTGTGTGTGTGTGTGTGAAAATACACAGGTTTGCAAAGGGAGCCAATTATTTGGAAACACAGGTATCCAAGTATTTTTAGAAACCTGCCTTTCTGTTCTCATCCTCGAGGCGCGCCTTGATCCACTCTTAAATTATGCATGGATATCAGAAATATCTGCAGTTTTAGGCACCCCTAGGTTGTCAGCTGTGTTCATAATGGAAGGAAGAGAAGATATAATGATACTGCGGTGGTGCAGTGGCTTAAACCGCTAAGCTGCAGAACTTGCTGAATGGAAGGTTGGCAGTTCGAATCTGGGCAATGGGGTGAGCTCCCGCTGTTAGCACCAGCTAACAAGGGCAAGTGGGGCAGTTCCTGTGAGAGTTAGCAGATAGTGGTCACTTGGTTACTTGTGGTACCCTTCTAGTATGGGGACTATGGTGGCACAATGGGTTAAACTGCTGAGCTGCTGAACTTGCTGACCAGAAGGTTGGTGGTTTGAATCCGTGGGATGGGGTGAGGTCCCACTGTTAGCCCCAGCTTCTGCCAACCTAGCAGTTTGAAAACATGCAAACGTGAGTAGATCAATAAGCACCGCTTCAGCGGGAAGGTAATAACACACTCTGTGCTCCATCACACTAGAGAATGAATCCAGTTTAAATCAGGTTTCTGCCTCCTGCAGAATTCTGGGGTTTGTAGTTTAGTGAGGCTGGTCAAGGCTCCTCTTTAAACTACAAACCCCAGAATTCTGCAGGAGGCAGCAAACAGATCTAAGGTTTGGATTCATTATTAGGGTGATGAGGTGTGATGAGTCAGACTCGACTAAACTTAATGTCAAGGAGAAACCTTTACCTTTACTTTACCCTCATCCCAATTCAAGTTCAAGGACCCCCTGAAATCTACCAACAAACGCATAGGTTAGGACCTCCTTGCTCCAGCATTTCCCTTCTCCCAAAACTGCACTGCTTCAGGAAGGATTTCTCCGCAACTGCAGAAGTATTTTGGCACCATTGCCAATAGACACCTCTGTGCATTTTGAGTGGCTCGTGGATGTATAATGCACCTGCCAGTGCCATTTACAAACATCTGATTCTCAGGTGCTGCCATCAAGGGCAGAAAAATCAGCAAGGTTGGCTTTTTGGTTCTCTCTGTGCTCTTTCCCTACTCCCTCAAGTCCTGCAGATGACAAGCATCAACACCTCACAGCCTCTGAGGATGTTTGCCATAGATCTGAGTAAAACATCAGGAGAGAATGCTTCTGGACCATGGCCATACGACCTAGAAAACTCGCAGCAACTCATTTTTAGATATCCAAATATATAAATATATGAAATCAGAAAAAAATGTTGGAAGTCTCCCACTGGGAGAGTAATTTCCATATGTAGCTGCTAGCCTACCTGAACAGCTGTTTAAAACAAGGAATTAATCAATAACAGAGACACATAAAGGAACTTGTGTATATCAAACACACAAAGAACTGTCAACCATCATGGGAGCCTGGGTAGAATATTAGAGGGACCGAGGTCGCCTGGGTTCAAGTCCATGGTTGTTTATGGAGCCAGTTGGCTTCTGCTTGACAGAACAAGAAGCTGCTTTGGGTTTCATATTGGGAGAACAGCAGGAGAGAAACACAGTGAAATTAAGTAAGTTATTGTGTGGCTATCATGGGTTAACTTTGTGTTGATTACTCTGAGGGTACATCTACACCAGTGGTTCCCAACCTTTTTGCATCAGGGACCACTTGACCAGGGACCACTCTCCAACATCAGTACCAAAAGTGTTACAAATCAGTTTTTGGTCAACTTTACATTCGGTTTGATTATTTGGGGTGCTGATTCAGAAAACTGCATTGGACAGACCACATCAGCTCTGGTTTTTGATACAGAATATATGCCATCCAGTTGTCGCTATCTGCTCACCCACAGAAAACCATATTTAATAAGCATCGGCACTATAAGAGGGTTTTGTGAGACCAGTCACACTTGTTGCAACGGTGTAGTAACAGTGAGGCCACGTACTATATTTTAGTGCTTGCGGACCACTGGCAGTCCACGGACCACAGGTTTAGTCATATTGAGAACCACTGGTTTAGTCATATTGGTTTCTAAGGCAAATTTAGGCTTGATTTGCTCTAGTTTTGCACATCAGCTTTAGTTTCTGATACAGAACATATGCCATCCAGTAGTCACTATCTGCTCGTCCACAGGAAACCCTGAGCTGATGTGGTCTATCCATTGCAATTTTCTGAATCAGCATCCTAAATAACCCTAGGAACAGGTCTAAAAACGAAGACACCAAGATGGCACCCCCGCTTCCAGGTGCCACATGGAATGGCTTGACTCAGGGGGAGGGAGGGAGGTGGAGGAGAAGCAGAGATCAGGAGGCTTGTTGTCATGCCTTTTGTTGGTAGTCAGCCTCTCCCCTCCAGACATCCCCATTGTCTTGGCACTACAAGAGGGTTTCATGAGACCAGTTGCTCTTGTTGCAACAGTGAGGTTGTAGACCATATTTTAGTTCTTGGGGACCACTAGTGGTCCACAGACCACAGGTTGGAAACTACTGATCTACACAGATGTTTGTTTTGAGGCTGATCCAGCATACTAGATGCCAGATTGACCCTGAAAATTGTCCCCACAGGGACTCCCCAGGTAATGCAGAATTGTGAAGGAATCCCCATCACCCAATGGATCCAAAAGTGGTTTGACACCACTAAGTGACCACCTTAACTGCCCCTCCTTCACCCCGCACGCCATGGTGGTCAACGTAGAAGAGGTGCAAGCTGCCTGGAAACCTCAGCCCTTCCATCAGATTCAATACTTTGTTCATTTCCATAATAGAAAGGTGGGAGGCAAAGATAAAGCTGTATACAGTCAGTTCCCAAGTTGCGAACAAGATAGGTTCTGTAGGTTTGTTCTTAAGTTGAATTTGCATGTACGTTGGAACAGGTATATTTTTCAAGTGAAACTCCAGCCAAATATACATTTTTGTGTGTGCGCATGCACTTTGGGTAGCATAGGGAAGGGTTAATGCCCCTGTGGTGTTTGTTTTGCTATCTGCGCCCCTATGCAGAAGATTTCACCTCACTTTCTATTCCTGTCATAATTGGATTTGGCTTGTTGTGGGAACAATTTGTTTCTGGGTGGGGGGTCTGAGTCCGAGTGAAAGAGGGTCTACCCTAGCAAACCTTTTGTATCGTTACCCCAATACCCCCATGCATATGGGATATATTGAGTAGGGTGATCAGATCATGATATGAATAAACATAACAGTTTAAATAATGCACCAGTAAGGCCTTTTCGCGAACCACCATGATAATTTCGGGGGGGGGGGCTGAAGCCCCTCAAGGCCCCCCCCCCCCCAGCCTACATGCCTGGCTGTTAGGGATTTTGGAAGCAGCTCAGCTACTGTTCACCTTCCCTGTTTGTAAACACTGAGTGGGACATGAGAGAAGCCTCCCACAAGAATGGTGAAACATCAAACATCCAGGCGTCCTCTGGGCAACGTCCTTGCAGACGGCCAATTCTCTCACACCAGAAGTGACTTGCAGTTTCTCAAGTCACTCCTGACATGGAAAAAAAAAGCATGGAGCAGGACTACAGTAGGATTGCCTACAGAAGAATATCACTCAGGTCGATTCTGATTTTTTGCCTCATTACATTTATGGCAATCTTCTCTGTACTCTGGTTTCCATCCCTGCTGATTATTTTATCTGCTAATGGAACATTTGCTTTATAATTTTTCCCCCAGAGTATGACAGAGGAGTTCCATCTAACCTTTAAGCTGCAGTTCTAAACAAATCTACAGGTTGAGTGTTTCTTGTCCAAAATGCTCTGGACCAGAAGTGTTATGGATTTCAGGTTTTTGGTGTATTTTGGAATAGCTGCATTTGTATTATTGTGTTGTTTCCTGTGGACATGGTGCTTCGACATGACACTGAAAGCCTGTGTTTCTCCAGCTCTCTCCCAGCACCCTTGCCATTGCTGTATCCAGCTAGATAAGAAGGAAGAGCAGGGTGGGTATGAAAAGGCTTTGTAAAAAGGAGTCCCACCATCAGAGGCTTTGTTAACTGAGGTATGTCTATATATATGTCTCTGTGTGTGAGGCAGAAAGTAAAATCAAATCTTCTATGTATAGATCTTTGTAGTGAGGGTCCATGTTTAAGCTAGCCTCTTTGGGTTAAAATCTTGGAAGCAAGGCCCACTAAACTCTTAAGAAAACATGCATAGGGTTTAGTTGCAAAGCTTCCATCTACACCATTGTCAACATGTGTGATAACCCTTTGACTTGTAGCC